GGACTGTACTACCTCAAGAAGGTTCCTAAAAAGAAAGGAGAGGATTAGGAGAATGAAGGTGGGAAGCAAGGTAAGTTCCACAGGAACTTACCACAGGCACTCAACCAACTCCACTTCCTTAGAGAGAGCTTTCATAGACTTAACCCCTTTATGATAATGCAATGTATTCCTCCACAAGAGGAAACATGCTCACAAGGAAGATCCCAATCAAGCAAGGAAAATTGAAAGGGAAACTAACCCTATAGGAAGGATCATCTACTTACTTGAATCTCTAAAGAACCTCAAATGTTTACCTCCTAAGGATCACCTACACCAAAGGTTCAAAGCTCTAAGGAAGCATCTATCTAATCACCATCTTATCAAGAAAGGGTGTGAGACCTAGAATCATCTAATGGTCATGTACAAGACTAATCTATGAACTTAACCTAGTTAGGATCACCTAAACTAAGGTCAATTTGTAAAATGGGGAACTAATGGAAAATCATTCCTAAAAATTCCAAGGAAAATACTACATCATCCTATATGTATTAACAAGCTATGGTCTAAAAATCAGGGGCTAAACCTAAATCAAAAGGCTCAACCAAAATCTAAAATCTAAAGGGTACACTAAAGGGATCCATCAATGAATACTCCTAAACAATTATCCCAAAATCCTACTTAGAATGATCTAAAAATCTCAACAAAAATCACATAACATCATCAACAAGTCTACAACCAGCACACACAATTTCAATATCAAACTCAAAAGCATGAATGAGAAATAAAATCAACAAGCAAGATAGTTATTTTATGCATTTTTAATCATTTATCAAAAAAGAGAAAATGGATATTAAATTGAAAATGTCATCAAAATAAAATCCTAAGGCATCAGAAAATCAGGAATTAAATCAGGATTAACCACACATTTTTTGCATATTTTTCTGATCAAAATTGAATTTATTATGATTTTTGCCATGAAAATGAATTTAAAAAAATAGAAAACGAATTAAAGAAAAGAAATAAAGCTGGAAAATAACAGAGGCGTTAGATTGGGAGACTGGGTCATATCATCCAAGGCTTGCAAGCGTGACACCTCAACTGCCAGGTAGATTAATGAAACGCAGCGTTAGCTGCTTGGTCAAAGTCCAAGTTTAGGAACAAATTACAAGCGTACGATTGGATTACTTAGTCACCATTTCACACAAATCCAACGGATGGTGGTCATCGTCCTCATTCAAACTCTGAAAGGGAGGTAAATTACCAGCGGTGGCCGGAGAAGACCTCTGGTCATCTTCTCCGGCGGTTCAAACGTGCCAAGTCAATCAATCTTCACTAACCCTAACCAAACCTATACCGTTCTCTTTGTTTTTTCGCCCTGAGTTCAAATCTAACCTCCATTCTTGCTAATTCCCCATGGATTTATCAAATCGAAGATGAACAGAAAATCACTCACTCCCACAATTCTCACCAAACCTCAAATTGATTGTACAGAAATGGTCATCACTCTTCAGAGATCAGGAATCACTCATCAAATCATGCCAACACTCAATAATTCTCTAGATTCGAATCCAAACAGAAACCTCATCTCACCATGAATCATCACGAAATCTCTCCATTATGATCCTAAATCGTTCTAGGTTTCAAACATGTCCTAACCACATGCATCTAAGCCTTGCAGAGTGCATAATTAAAGAGGAATTTTGCAAGAAAGAAACCTGATTCAGAGCTTCACGTAGGGTGACTTTCAGGCCACAGTTCTCTTCCAAAGTGTGCAGATTCACTCAATGGATGATGTTGAATGATGTCTGATGCTTAATTTCTTCTGAAACGGCCTCAATCTCCAAACTCAAAAATCAATTCTTCAAGCTTCTTCTCAACTAACTCCAACTGTTTCTAAACTGAAAATGGCACAAGAAGATTCCAAAAATGATCAACAATCTATTTATAATCTGTTTAAAAGCTGTGGAGGCCCAATCATGGCCCAAATCCAAACTTCCAACTTTCAATTTTTCTCCAAAAATCCAACTATGGAAGCCATGCATGTGCTCTGCCTTCACTTCAATCTTGATTCAGATCACTTGCATTGGATGTGTGGAATGTAATTGGATTGGTTTGCAGCCTTGATTTCAATCTAAGGTGCAAGTTTGAGATGTTACTTCATCATGAAGTAATCCACCAAATGACCATGAGATGAGTATCAAATCAAAAATGTAATAATTCCAAGGTGTCTAGAACTTCTTTTCCAATCAAAATGATTACCAATTTGGTTTGAAATCATTCAATTACCAATTATTTTGAATTTTTCCATTTTAATTCATTAAAATGGCCTTTTTGAGAAATTTCTTCAACCAATGCTTGCTCTAATCCATATCAATGGACTCTTGATACTTGGTTGAACTAAAAACATCATTTTGAGAAACTTTCAAGTTGAACAAAACTCCATTTGAAGCTTGCAAGATAGTGAAATGGACCCATAATTCAAAATGACCTGTAATTCCAAATACCCAAAATACCCCTGACTTGTAAACCTCATAACTTGAGTTCTACAAATCATATGGAAGACTTCTAGTACAATTTGGAAAGATAAGATCAAGACCTACAACTTTCATGTTGGCCAAAAGTTGATGAGAAACACACTTCTAGGTCAAACGTTCCATGGAAGTTGGTTGATTTTTGCAGACAAATTTCACATTCATCTGATGACCTGTAACTTGTCTGGACCATAACTTGAGTTCTATAAATCCAATGGAGGACTTCTAGTACTAAATTTAAAGCTAAGTGCATGCTCTACAAGTTTCATGTTGGTCAAAAGTTGAGATGAAACTTGTATCTTGAGATAAGTGGTCTTGAAGTCAGGCACTAAATAGGGGATTTTACCCTGAGAACCCTAGTTTAGCAACTCCTCACACTTTGAACTCTTCTTGAATTGATCTTGGAATACCACCTCATGTATCTCAACACAACTTTCCATGATCATAAAGACTTAGAATTGAGTCTTAATCTCCTCCCCGTTGCACAATTGACTTAAGGTTACTCAGATGAAAACCCTAATTGTAACACCTTCAATTGTGGCTCTTCACACTTAGCATCATGATTTGACTGAGCTCCACCATGCCCCTCAAGGCACTCCATGAGCTCTATCCACACTCTATCCATGGTCAAGACTCCACAACTCACTGATGGTCTTCAATTGGCTCCCTAGTTAGGAGATGAACCCTATACAAGCAACAAACTTCTCAAGAACACAACCCTCTTCCTGATGACTTTGATGACCTCTCAAGCTTGCATAAAACCTCTAGATAGGCTCCTCTTGATATAAACCACACTTGATCCCCTGCTAAATGAATAATGTTATGCTATGCAAATGATATATCAATGATATGCTAATGCAATGAAATAAAAGCCAAGTAAGAAAAGGTTAGGCAAATTTTGGGGTGCAACACTATCATCTGCAAATCTCATATTGTTCTTCAATGTTTTATTGATTTTTACAAACCAATTCTTCCTTTCCAACAAGTCAAGATACCATTGATCGTTTCATTTTGTGCATTCTCACGTAGTCATCATCACATTTTTTGGTTGCATTTTTCTGCACTATACCCTATGATAATAGTGTATTATCATCATCTTATTGCCTTACAAACTTTACTTTAGCTTTTTGTGGATCATTCTCAGTGGCATGACATTCGCAAGCAAAATGTCCAAGCTTTTGGTCCTCGTAACATTGAACATTGCTCTTGTCATTCTTCCATCTTCCTCCTCTTCTTTTATTGTTGCCACCTTTGTAATTTCTTGATCCACCATCTTTGTTGTCGCTGCTCTCACCCTTTTGGAATGTTAAATTGTTGGAATTTTGAGAGTCTCTCCCACCATTGTTGTGGTAGTTTCTTCTTCCTTTTACTCATGGACCATTTTTCCTTCACTTTCTTGTCCTTTCCAACAAAACGAGCTTGCAAAGCAATTTCAGCTTTGCTTTGTCAGCATTTCTCTCCTCCATTCTTTACTCACGAGTCTCAAGATAACTTTGCAACTCTTCTTTGCTCATAATTGAAAGATCCTCGGAATCTTCAATAGAAATCACAACGTTATCAAATCTTGACGTCAATGATCTCAAGATTTTACCAACCACATACTGCTCAGTGACTGTCTCTCTGCAAGCTTTCAATTGATTCACCAATCTTGATATTCTTATAGTAAATTTACTAATGGTATCCTTCTTTTTCATTTGTATTAAATCCAGATGCCTCAGATGAGTTTGTAACTTTACCGCCTTTGTCTTATTATCTCCTGCATAACTTTTCTCCGATTTCCCAAGGTTGCCTTTAGGATGTGCAATCACCAAACTTCTCAAACTTATCAACATCAACACATTGGTCAATGAGATACAGAGCTTAAAAATCTTATGTCTGCTCCTTCTTGTGCGTAGTTTTTTAAAGTGGATTAACGTCGTTCTTAACCACTTTAAAAAACATCTTGATAACTAAACAACACTTTCATCTATTTGTTTGCACCACTTATCATAATTCTTTGCATGAAGAGTTGAGAGATTTGCAGGATACGTTCATTGAAGATGAAAATGTTTTTGCATACAAAGTGTTTGATTAAAGAATCCGGCTTTTGATGTCAAATGTTGGATAAATCACAATCATAAGAACAACGATGAACAATTGAAAGATTGAGAAATTGAGAGAATGCAATAATTAGAGAGAATTGTGGTGAAATTATGTTATTCTAATAATAATGGTCTAACATGGTAGATCTTTTATACCAAGTTGAGCTCAATCTCTACCTAAAAAATACAAAAATTGAAAAAGGTGCAACCTATTACACATTTGTTGTGCCAAATCTCAATCTAAAACTTGAACACTCCAAAATAAATATATAATCTATTACACATTTAGTGCAACCTAATGCATTGAACTTTATTATTTTCTCAATAGGATAGTATCCTAGAGTTTTTGATGGGTTGCATAATTTTTTAGTTAAAAGGCCCATATTCCGTAGCTTCACGCCTCACAAACATGTCGTTGTTGTGTGCTTCTCCCCCTTCATCCCATCAATTCGTCGTCATTTCTCCAGCAACCACTTCCCACAACCGGAGACTCACCGGGAGTCACGCCACTCGTCATCTCCTGAGGATGTCACTGGACAACAACAACAAAAACAATTCTAACAGTAATTCATCTTCCTTACTGAGTGCAGTGACCAACCTTCTCTGGGGTCGGTCCCTACCGCCAGGGCTTCTTGTCACCACCGTGCGCACCGCCTGGAATTCTACTTGGCAGCTCATGATGTCACAGCTGGCTCCCTCTGACCCCACCGGCGGGTATTCAAGACCCGCTTCTAAATTCCGATTCTCCGGTCCTCCACCCAATGGTCTCCACCTCTACGTTGGCCTGCCATGCCCGTGGGCCCACCGTACTCTCATAGTACGCGCACTCAAAGGCTTAGAAGATGCCGTGCCGGTGTCAGTCGCGTCTCCTGGCATGGACGGGTCGTGGGAATTTAAACGGGTCGGTGGCGTGGATACGGGTCAGGTAATTAGTCCTAGTTTGGATAAAGCGAATGGTTGCAAGACTTTGAAGGAAGTTTATAGGCTTCGAAGAGGTGGGTATGATGGAAGATCCACGGTGCCAATGTTGTGGAGTAAAGAATCCAAAGATGTTATCTGTAACGAAAGTTATGATGTAATTCAATTGTTCAATTCCGGGTTAAATGGGTTGGCCAGTAACCCGGATTTGGATCTTTCACCTCCTGAGTTAAAGGATAAGATTGAAGAATGGTATCAACTGATATATCCAAATGTGAATAATGGTGTTTATAGGTCAGGAATTGAGACTTTATGACAACTACTTTCAATTGAATTGGTAACTACTTTCAATTGAATTGGTTATTTATGCAATTTGCATTGCAGGTGCGGGTTTGCTCAGAGCCAAGAAGCATATGATAGAGCGGTAAATGAGTTGTTTTGTACACTAGACAAGTTGGAGGATCACTTGTCAAATTCTCGTTATTTGTGTGGAGACACGCTCACTCTTGTTGATATATGTCTGTTTACTACTTTAATTCGGTTTGATGTTGCTTATAACGTTCTGTTTAAATGCACCAAGAAGAAGTTGTATGAGTATACTAACTTACATGCCTACATGCGTGACATTTATCAGGTGATTGTTTTGCTAAAACATGTTTAGATTTAACCATCATCTGTGTTGTTCAATGACTGAGATAGTGTGTTTTGTGCCTTTGACAGATTCCCAAAGTTGCAGACACTTGTAATTTTCAAGAAATTATGGATGGTTACTACAAAACCCTTTTTCCTCTCAATCCAGGGGGCATTAGACCAGTAATGCCTTCAACTTCAGAGCATGAAATTCTTTACAGGCCTCATGGCAGGGAATCCCTATCTACATCAGCTAAGCCAGTGTTTGTTAAATAGTGATCAAATCTTTTATCCGATGGTCCTTATTCTGTATGCAAGAGGACAATAATCTACAATTTTTAGGCAATGCAAGTAGTATACAGCAAGCATACTTTTACTTATTACAAAAGTTATCATTTACTGTTTATATCATATTTTTATTAGATCATGTTCTGTTTATGTACTTTATAACGTGGGATTTTATCAATTTGCACTTTAGAGACAAATTTTGCACCTTTTTGCAATTCACCGATCTTTCATTTCAGACTGAGTTGCAGCTCAAATCAAATGATTCTTCAGAAAATCATTTCAGTTGTACCAGAATGCAGTATCATTTGCTCTTAAAAATTACTTTAAATATGATATCAGTCAATTACCATAATTAAGAAAATTGTCTAGAGTATTAAAAAGGAGAGAGAAATAATTAATGTTTAAACAAGAGTAATAATTACAAAATGCAAAAAAGATGTAATATAATAAGGGGGTTTGTTTGAAAACAAATAATAATGAACTTTAAAAGTTAAAAATGATCTTATAAAAAGGGACAACGAAAAACCTCAAGAGGATCTTAGAATTAATGATATATATTTTCATCAAAGGGGAAAAATGTTTAAACGCAATCCACTAATAATAATTCGCATCAATAATATTTTGTTGATGTAAGACGAAGGTTACAAAGCCCTACGAATACAGCAGCAACATATAACTTCACGAATCCCAAATTGAAGATACAAGTATCTCAACTAAGGACCAAAGTGATGGTTAATCCATTTGTCTTTTTTGGACAACACTGCCTAATACTTAAAACAAAACTGTACAAAGTAACTACTGTCCAACCGCCATAGGCAAGATTTCCCCCCCAAAAAAAAACCAAAAAACCATCACTGAAGTAGGTTGGGTCTTGTTACAGCGATAAAAACTATCATCCAGAAATTGACGCAGATCTAGTGGACCCTGCAACAAAGAATAAAACTCATTATGCAAATCTCACATCAATAATGGCAAGTGTGTTGGTGTCTGCATGCATGTTGTATGAATGGATGTAGCCAATGAAAGAGTTTCACTAAAATCAAATACAAGTTTACTAAGCAACGAAATGAAAGCAATCAGATCATAAGCTATATGCACATTATTAAACACTACGCAAAATAGTTGCCTCCTAGTTTCTACAACAAAGTATATTAAATTTAAAAAACTAAAACTTGCAATTTGACATGTGACCGTGGCCTTTTCAACTATCAATCCAGCAAAAGATTAAGTAAGAACATGCTGGGGAATGCGTTATGAATAATGATCATTTGGCTGAAATTTGAAGTACAAAATGCAAACCAAAAGTTAGCAACAAATTAGAGGAAGTGGCATAGGAATTAACAATATCCAGAGAAAAGATAAAGACGTGGTATAGGAATTAACAATATCCAGAGAAAAGATAAAGACAACTATTTAGGGATAAAAGTTAAAAAGAATAAACACTATTCATCGGTGAGAAACTGAACCTACCGTTTGATCGCTTCATATTCCTGCAGAACTTACTGCCGCATTTGCACTCGAACAGTTTGACAGGTTGATCATGGTCGTCAAAGTCAATTCCATAATCCTGTAGAAACACCATAAACATAAAGCTTCAGTTTAGAAAAAAATGATTTTAGATTAATGAAATGATTTGAAGAAGGTAAACTACAATAACGAACGGCACTTATCAGGATAAACTTACTAAATGGTCTGCAAACCAACCAATGTACATATCATTTGTCAATTGAGTAACCATGAAAAACTATGAAATGACTTCAACCATAAATAAATTATCTCAACCATGTTTTTGTTGCTACCTTGTTCACTACTTGAAAGAAGAAAAAAAAAAGAGTACTTAATAAGCACCGTCAAGAAGTGAAAATTTACAAACAATACCAGACCATTCACGAAAAACCATATTACATAACAAAACTTACCCAAGTGAGCTCTTCTTGTGCTGCTATTTTTCTGGAAGAGAAAAGGGCAGACTGCGAATTTTAAAACATCAAAAGCATTGGTAAGCAAAATTGCTATACAGTTTAGTCTCGCAACAAAAGGCAAGTAAAACAGCTTTTTGGACTTCAAGGATTAGGTATCTCACATGATAGTAATAACGATCTGGACACTCAATTTGAATGGGTATTTCAACCAAGTTTGCATCAGAACATCTGAAAAATTAAATAGAGTTGTTACAGAATCTTCTAAATTACCAAATAGCATTAAACATTTGCCGAGGCACTGTTTGGCAGAAGTCAAGAGTTATACAGTTTGAAGTATTGAATCGTCTAAATGCACAAACATTCATTAGAAGCATGCAGGTGACTAAAGATTGATCAACTGCATTCAGTGCCAAACAAAACAACCATTAGAAGTAACGTCTAAATGCACAAACATTCATTAGAAGCATGCAGGTGAATGAAGATTGATCAACTGCTTTCAGTGCCGAACAACCATTAGAAGTATTGTATATATACTAAATTAGATTTTTACTGCCCGGCTATGATATAATGTAGAAAGAACATACAAGAAAGCAAACCCAGTTTTACAGAGATGGGAATATCGCGATAGATAAACAGTTATGTTAGGCAAGATAAGGAAGGTAAGTCAAATTGAAGATATTCCAACAGTTTAGGGTAGGGAGAGGATCAAGGAAAACTGCAGTTCAACCATTACAAGAATTTATAGTAAAATATAAATGGCCTATCCTTACACATGACTCATTATAGCTCTATAAAGATGGCCTATTATTATACATGACTCATTATAGCTCTATAAAGCATAGCTTGATGATCCATGTTGCAGGACTCACACCTAGTGAGAAAAGGCCCTGGATCATTTTCAACATCTGTAATATTTATTTCAATTTATAATGAACTAACTATTTCTGAGTCATGGCAATTACATTGAATTTTTTTCTTTTCTCTTTAAAATACTATGAACTACTACAACCACATTAAACTCAAGTTACTTATCTTCATATAAATACATACAAAATTAAATTAGATGTCCCAGACAATTTTTTTTCCTTATCTAGATAGGTAGTTTGAATGAATAAATTTTCCTTCCTGATCAGTCCTCTTATGTTAGTAATATAATGTAAGAAAATAAATATAAACTACAAAAATTAATACTTTCTTCTCCAATTTTTCCAGATATCAATGAAATCTGCAACCAAGTAATGAATGTCAGCTGAAACACGATAATTCGTTGCTATGAGATCAAATCAATAGTTATTCCACATAACTTTCAAACAGCAAGTTGTTTAAAACATGGCAATCAAGGTTAGAGCCGCAGATTTCAACTTTTTGCATCCCATGGTTGACTTAATTATTGTTTCTTTATTTTCCCTAGCATGAATTTTAGGGTGCCAAAATTGAAACAATAGGTGAGGAATTCAATACCTGTGATTAATAAACCTAGCAATGTTGCCAAACGATGCTGCTTCTAAGCATAGAGCTTCTTCATCCTTCACAAATCCTGAATCCCAATCCGCATCCAGTAGAATTGGGTAAGTAGATTTCCCATTTTCAGCACATTTTATGTTCCTCTCATGTAACTCTTTGATAGTTAAAATCTCTCCAACAAACTCGCATACAAATGCTCCTTTTGGCAGGTCCTCTAAAGTACGAAGACCCCATCCTTTTCCTTCGGAAGTGAAAAATACCTAAGTTAAAAATAATTGTTAGAGAAACCATTTTTAAAATGTACTGGGGAATTTATAATACATAGGAACTTGGGCCTGGAGATACTTAACTTGATATATACTATAAATACAATGCATAAGAACTTTTTAATACAAATAATGAATCAATAGTGGCAGAGATTACTACCCACCTGCAAGTTGCATGTTATTCCTCGCTGAATAAGGCGATTGCCACATTGTTTGCCACAGCCACATTTTCTCCAGCATTCTTTAATAAACTTCCTCTTTAAGTGTCCTTTACATGGTTCCAAATTACCATTACTCTTGGACCTTTCAAGTGGGCAATCTTTGCAATAAAAGCAATGTTGTCGAGGGTTGAGACTGATAGCAATGCACTCTTCCAAAAATTCTTCCTTCAGCAGGCCATGAGCAGTATATGCAAATTCACCCCCAGTTTTATCTGTACAGGCACAATGTGTTGACAACAAGACACAACTTCCTATGCAGGGACAACTGTCCTCGGCCCCAATACGTGATAGAGAAATGTTAACATAAGCATCTTGGAATACAAGGTTTTGGGGTATGTAGTTGAAAGGTGGTGGGAAATCATTAGTTTTAGTCACCCACGGAATTTGATTAATCTCTTCTCCTTTTGTAATGTCATTAACATTATGAAAAGACCTTATATCATCTACTGTTAGCTGATGACGTGGAATGACTACTAAACTGTGTGAATTTGGAGACATGGGATCCTCCGGCTGCATTCCAACATCACTTTGTGGAATATCATTTGAGATGTCCATCTTGGAAATCACTGCAGCATCATCCAAACTGCTCTGATGGGCTGGCGAATAGGGGCCTCGAGGGGAAACCAAGGCAGAAAAAGAATTAACTTGGATTGATCCATTTGATGAGTGAGAACCCGTATCCAAATCCTTACTTCCCCCAACACCCGGAGTGCCATTAGCCTCTGATTCCTTCGACACATCCATGGTTGGTCTTGCCATAGAACTTTCTTGTGAGTTATCATTCGAATCAGTACTGAATTCCAACATGCAATCACATATATCCCTAAACATTTTCGCGACAGAAAAGTTCGGGTCAGTGATTTTATATGATCGCAGACATCTATCCTCCATCATCTTTAGAAGCTGTTCCTGAGTAGGCATGCGAAAATCTGGACCTTGAATAGCTGAGCTGTAGCTCAGAGAAATTTTTACTTCTCCCTGAGCTGAAGAGGCTATCACAACATCAGAAGCCACTTCTTTATCTCTAACTCCATTTTTGTGCTGTGATGATGTCCCAGAGACATGGCCACCTTGCTTTCTAGTAATACCACTCTTCTTTGATGAATGCCTTAAAC